CCAGTGTCGCTACTGCTAAGTCATCCGCCATCACATTCAATTTTCCCATGCTCTCCGTGTTATGATAGCTTTTGATTGTAACGTAGTGCTCCTGGTACGGCGCGTGATGCATATTCGTAGTGTACCTGACACGCTGCGCGTCACCACCATTATCGCATCGCTTTCCCCTCAAACTGAACACCTATGAATGCGGTTGAGGTACCCGACCAGCTCAGAGAAGAATCCACGGCTGCCCTTCAAGATACACAGTAAATGCAATTCCGTATCGCCGTAACTGAGCCGCAATAATCTGACCGCTGCGCCACAAAAATACGCAACACTCACACTTGACGAATATCCATCGCGAGCTTCTCCGTACGATCCAATATCAGCCCCTTCGGCAACATGATTCTTTTCAGATCGTTTTGGTAGTGTGGGGGGATCAGGAAGTGCTCCAAGTGGTACATTTCCCTACCACAACAACACCAACAACATCAATCATCTCATCCCCCGTTTCCCTTACTCCTCGTTGTCCTTAACAAATACAGGCTCCTTGCGGCCGATGCCTCTACCAACATATTCATACGAATACCCAGCCTTAGAACCGTCCGATGGTTTCTCTTCAGAAGTGGCGGTCGAGTTAGACATTTACGTGACGAGCTACGAAGCAGCGTTCAAGTGGACCCCATCCTGCAACACTGACCACGAGCAACACCAAGACACCACTACATCAGAGCATTGGCGGCTGTACACATGCAGGTGGCTGCTGTGCCCCCGAGGGCACCCCTCGCACCCTCACCACAGTGCCGCCACCCCCCATACTCACCACAGGGATCATGCGGACCCCCACGTCCATAGGGAGGTTGGAAAAGGCGATCTAGTGATGAGCATGGGCCCAGCAGGCGTGGTAGGTCACCTCGTAAGGTCCGTCATTGACCGAGTAGAGAAGAGCCCCTGGGTTGCCGTTGATGCCTCGGAGGTCAACCATGATGTTGATCTAAATGTATGGTGTGGGGATCGAACCAGGGACCTTCTGATTACCAAATCTCCCTCTCTGATGAGCCGATCCCCTGCTGGTCTATCTTGCCACGGTTCATCATCACTCGATAAACCTACCACTACCACTCCTTTCGCAACACCATCAACCCCACCCTCCCACTCGAGCGAGAGGTAGTAATAAGTCTCCAAGGCTTCCCATGCCCCTCGCCATGCACCCCAAATTGGACCTGTGGTCTGTGCGGGCACTTCGACACTATCTCCAACGACCACTGATACAACCCTCCCGGGCACAGCAACACACTACCTGCAATACACAGCGTAGAGGCCACATAGTTGACCTCAAAAACTGCTTACCACCAACCGGAATGACCCATCCCATTTCGGGGTAGTCCCCCTTCTTTAGCACCTCCTCCCCTTGTGA